TTAAAGGCGTTAGCTCTTAACATATTTGTGCTTAGTATGAGATCCCTGATTAAGAAAATGCTCTTGCTCCAGACTCTGGTTTTCGTACACCGGTCAGGCATTTTTATGGTAAGAAAGATGTTGGCCACACCCTTAATATGAATTTGTTTTCCCTATCCTATAGACAAGTTAGATACGGCCTGCCCTGGATATTCCGTATTCTACACGGACATTTCTATTCGCTAAAATCCGAAGATCTCTTTGTGCTCCTAAACATAATGCACCTGTGCGGCCATCCGTACAACCTCGAACGTGAATCTACACCCCTAGCTCTGTGCATGTTTTCCTTCAGTCAATGGATGATGTCGCATACTATTACTGTGTTCAAATGGCAGGTGGATAACTTAGCTTTGAAAACCGACGATTCTAACTGCAGGACTATTGCTGGCTAGCCATGGCATTTACTTAATTACTCCCATAGCAGAACAACGTGGTCACTTTTACCTAGCGGAGGTAGACAAGACATTTCTTCCTGCGATTTCTTGAGAACGAGGTCCAGACAATTGGCCTGTTGGCCGTTGCGCACCCTTGTTGGATATGTGACATGCTGTGTGAGAAATAACTTTAGAGTCATGCTCAGAAGGCAGTTGTCGAAGGCTAGATCGGAGCTATGTGCGCAGACCGAGCTCTACTCGATATGAGGCACGCTAAAATCACCCATGATCAGGATATCCGACCGCGTACCAATCTTTTCACGTTCCTCTAGAAAGGAGGCATCCACTATGGGATCTATTCTCGGTGGTCGGTAGAGTGTCAGGACATCAAGGGTGCATGCCCCTAGTACTATAATAAACAGCCATATCGCCTCGGAAGTACACGCTAGTTTATCCGTTTTGTCTAAAACGGTGAGTTCGATTTTCACGTATGTCAGTACGTCACCGCCTTGACGCTCTACCCTGTCGTTTCCGAACAGTTGGTAGCCAGGCATGATCACCTCGCGGTCGTCTACGTGTTCAGACAACCAGATTTCCGTTAGAGAAATTATATCTGGTGATGGTTCACAGGCGTGAATCTTCAGCTTGCCAAGCTTTGATAGCATACTCTGTGCATTCGTGTACATGAACGTTAGCTTACGCTTTGCCCGAGAAGTGGTTACGGTCAAGCCCGACCCGCCCTTTACTGGGTCGACTGCGCGGTCATCCGGAAATAACTTGTCTATGGTGAGAACAATGGACGCTGGATCACTTAGTTGTTGTAAATAACCAAAATGTCGTTCCACTTCGCTGAGCTTCTGTCTCAGTGCCATGACAAGTTGACGGCGCTCATTCGTTCCGCAAGTGTGTAGTCCTGTTGAAAAAACTCCAGGGTTGGAGTCTTTTATCTTGCACCGCCTAGGCAAAATGAACCTGGCGTCCTGGCTACTGGTCATGGTGACTTTAAAAGGTCTAGGACGCGCTGGTTCAGATGGGCTCTCAGGCCGTTTTCCCAGACGGAAGCATTTGTGAACTTCGATTGAAGTTCATGGAAGAGCTTCACTTCGGCGGAATACCGGTCGATGGGAGTAGTGGCGGTCGATTCGGGTAGACCCTGCGCTTCGCCCCTTGACTTCTCCGACTGTATCCAAGTCAATCCACGCGATCAGCGGTACTGACACACTTGAAGGGGATGTGCTGGGAATGCGCCCATTCCCATGATTTCTCCTCTCACAGAAAGGCCGCGAGTGCAGATTACACCGCTGTCGCGAGTGCGCGCTGTGACTATCGATTTTTCCTCATAGCTGATTGGCCCACTGACTCAGCTATGTG